GGAGGAGGCTGCCCTGGCGCCCAGGGAGGCCCCTGGTGCAGCTGTGGGTGGGGCCCGGCTGCCCCTGCTGCGCGTGGCCATCCGCGAGGCCGAGGCCCGGCCATTTGAGGTGCTCATGCAGTTCCTCTACACCGACAAGATCAAGTACCCGAGGAGAGGTCTGCCTGGGGGGCAAGGGCGGGCGGGAACGGGGCTGGGTACAGCACCTGAGGCTCAGCGTCCTGAGGTGCCGCCTAGCAGCCCCGGCCCACCCTTACCCGCGGGGAGAGCCGTGGGTGCTGCCCCCTGCTCCCTGTGGTCGCTGAGGCTCAGGGGCTCTTGGGCGCAGGCCACGTGGAGGACGTGCTGCTCATCGTGGACGTGTACAAGCTGGCGCTGAGCTTCCAGCTGAGCCGTCTGGAGCAGCTGTGTCGGCAGTACATCGAGGCTTCTGTGGACCTGCAGAACGTGCTCATCGTGTGCGAGAGTGCCACGCGGCTGCAGCTGGGCCAGCTCAAGGTGCGCTTGGCAGCGGCCAATGCCCGCAGGCCCCGCGTGCACCCTGGCCGTGGCCCTGGGAGTCAGGCCTGACCCCACCGCCTGCCTGGCTTGTCTGTCCCAGGAGCACTGCCTGAACTTCGTGGTGAAGGAGTCCCACTTCAACCAGGTGATCATGATGAAGGAGTTCGAGCGCCTCTCCTCCCCACTTATCGTGGAGATAGTGCGACGGAAGCAGCAGCCGCCTCCCCGTGCCCCCTCAGACCAGCCCCTGGACATCGGTAGGGAGCCCTGGGCCCCTTCCCTGAGAGTGCCAGGCCAGGCCACTGTTCCAGCTCATGGGAGACTTAGGAGCTGTGGAAGCACTGGCCTGGCCCTTGGGGTGGGTGCCAGAACACGAGAGTCCCCCTGGGCACAGGGCCAGGGCAGGGAGGCAGCCCAGGCTCATTCATGGCAGGCAGAACCCCAGACCCACAGGGCTGTCCACAGTGGGCAGTGCACTTGAGGGCGGGGGTCTCCTGGCCCGTTTCTGCGGGGGGACGCGAGGCACCTCTCCAGCCAGGGTGCCTGCCCCTGGCTGACCTCAGGTCTGCAGGACTCCTAAGTGAGCAACGCGCCCAGGGGCACAGCGATTAGTCACCAAGCTTTGCTTCTGGGCATGTGCACTGTCGGGGCCCGGCAAGGGGGACGCAGGCCTCAGATGCCCCTCGCCCTCCCGGTTCCCCGCAGCCCAAGGAGGGACAACAGAGGCTCTTCCGCCTCTCACCTTCCCCGGCCTGTGCTGCCCCTTGCCACTGGCCTCTGTGACACACACAGGGCATGTGAGGTGTGCCAGGCCTGGAGGGTGGAGCAGGGAGGTGGGCTCAGTGGGCTGAACTTGGGGGGTCAGCTCGGGGCCGGGTAGGCCTGAGGGCCATGCTTCGTGGCTTTGTGGGCAGATGGGGAGAAGGTGGTGGTGCCCTTGTGGCCCTGAGCCCAAGTCAGAAGCTGCCCTCTGGCTCCGGGTCTGCAGGGGGCAGGAGGCACCTGCTCAGGGTCCCTCCACGCCCACCTTGCAGGCACATCTCTGATCCAGGACATGAAGGCGTACCTGGAGGGGGCAGGTGCGGAGTTCTGTGACATCACACTGCTGCTGGATGGGCACCCCCGGCCAGCCCACAAGGCCATCCTGGCCGCCCGCTCCAGGTGGGTGGGGCGCGGCCACAGGGCAGGGCCGGGCCGCCTGGCACTGGCTGCAGTGGCTGGAGCTGGGCTGATGCTGCCCGTCTCCATCTGCAGCTACTTCGAGGCCATGTTCCGGTCCTTCATGCCTGAGGATGGGCAGGTGAACATCTCCATCGGGGAGATGGTGCCCAGTAGGCAGGCCTTCGAGTCCATGCTGCGCTACATTTACTACGGCGAGGTCAACATGCCGCCCGAGGACTCACTGCATCCGCACTCCGGAGGGCACTGTGGGGTCGCCACTGGGGGTCCCTGTGCCCAACAGCTGGGCGGTTTCCCAAAGATTTCCTGGTGCCTAGTGCTCTGCTGGGGTTCTCTGAAGTCATTAGCTGGCACAGAGGGGTGCACAGCCAGGGCAGTCGGTGGGTTCTTACCCTCATGACTGCCCAGAGGAAGGGGTCAGTCATTGCCCTATGTGGTGGGCAGACAGACAGACGTGGAATGATTCCCGGTCACGTCACTTCAGCAGGATCTGAACATGGGGTGCAGGGTTCCTTGGGGCTCTGCAAGGCTGTGGACAGTTCTGCATATGGGCGTCTCCCCGGCAGGGGATTCTGTGGATCCTGACTGGGGCTTTTGACCCCTAAGGGGTTCAGAGCCTGTGTAGAGGGCAAGGTGCGGCCTCCCTGCCCTGGAGCCGCGTGCCAGCCCCTCGTGGGGTGGGTCCCCCTTCTGAGCAGGCAGGAGGCAGCGGCCTGGTCTTAGGCCTCTGCCCTCAGAGGGGACGGGCTCCTCTGGCCAGACGCTCCTTAACCCGCCCCTAGCTACCTGTTCGCGGCCCCCTACTACTATGGCTTCTACAACAACCGGCTGCAGGCCTACTGCAAGCAGAACCTGGAGATGAACGTGACAGTGCAGAACGTGCTGCAGGTAGCCCACTCGGTGTCCACAGGGGTCCCTGCACCTGCTGGGCCAGGGAGGTGGGGCAGTACCTCAAGGAACCTGCCATTGCAGATCCTGGAGGCGGCAGACAAGACACAGGCGCTGGACATGAAGCGGCACTGCCTGCATATCATCGTGCACCAGTTCACCAAGGTCAGCTCCACACCTCCATCTGCACAACCCACTTCCCCGTGGCCAGGTCAGGGGTGGGGTGGGGTGCCTGGAACCTCGGCGTCCTCTGCAACAGTGGGCCCAGGGGGTAACCACACCCGCCCACTGCCACTCCTCATCCCGTCCTCAAGTCCACCCAGCCCTGGGCTGGTTGAGCGCCCAAGGACTCCCTGGCCCTCAGGCGAAGCTGGTTCCTTCCTTTAGCCTTTGGTTGCCTCCCGCAGGTCTCCAAGCTGCCCACGCTGCGCTCGCTGAGCCAGCAGCTGCTGCTTGACATCATAGACTCCCTGGCCTCCCACATCTCCGACAAGCAGTGCGCAGAGCTCAGTGCTGACATATGAGCTGGCCCATGCGGGAGAGTGACCACACCTACCCTGCCCTGTCCACTGCAAAGACTGCATTGGCCACGCTCAGGCCTGTAGGAGGTGGTCGGACCTGCCCACCCGGGGGCAGGGAGCCCAGAGCCTTGGAAGGGAGTGGAGGGAGGTGGGGAACTCCGAAGGCCTGTTCACTGCTGAGCACAGGTCTACAGGAAGTGGGTGGTGCCACAGGCCACCCTGCTGGCACGGTCTCCTGGGTGGAGGTATGGGTGGGGACATGCAGGAGGCAGGGGTCCTGGGCAGGGCCCAGCAGTGGGGAGACAAGCCCACTAGGGACCTGGTTTTGGGTTGCCCACCTAGCAAGGCCCTGGCATGGCTTGTCGGTCTGGTCACTGGGTTCTGCTGTCAAGGCCCCTTCCACTTGGGGGCTGCATAGCACCCCTCACCCTCACTGAGGCTGGTATAAGGGGCCTCTCCAGCCACCCTGAGCTTGTGTGTGGGCAACAGTGATGGGCAGGTGGAGTCTGACTCAGGTGAATTTCAGGGTGGGAGGGTCCTGATCAGCTCCCAGCCCTAGGGGTCTCTGGACTGAGCCTGGCTTCCTTCCCACCTGGGCAGGCATCTGCGCCCCAGGCTATTCCAGGAAGTCAGTAGAGATGCCCCCCAGGTCCCCATCTGTCCCCAAGTATTTATTCTGTCATAGACACACCTCCATTAAAGCCGCATGAGTGCTACCTACCACACACACCTTGTAGCACAGCCCCTCGGCCCTCCCAGAGCTAAGGGCTGGTGGCTTGGGATTGGCTAGTCTCGCCTGGTTCTCTATCCATGTCAGTAACCCCCCATCCCAACCGGGAGCATGCCCGAAGGGTTGGGCAGGTATCCACCCTGGCATCCCAGAGCTGCACTATAGGCCCCTGCCTGTGAGGACCAGCCACTGAATTCTTCCTGTCCTGACAGAAGGCCATGCATGAGTCCACCATGCCGTGAAGGCATTGTTCCACCTCCTTTCTGGGACCGGGAACCCAGGGACCTTCTCGCCCTGGCTGCCAGGAAGCCACTGTGGGGCACTGATCCCCCTCCCGGCTTTAGAGCTCGTTTCCTTTCTCGTGTTGTGCCCCTCGCTGAAGAGCCCTAGGAGCCGTGTGCAGGTGGACGGAGAGCCCTAGGGGAACCTTGGCAAGGGGAGCCCATCCATAATGCCACCAGCGGGCTGGGAAACAGCCTGGTGCAAGATGAGCCTCGGTGCCCTTCTGGAAACCCTGCTCAGCAGCAAAGCCTGTCACTCGTCACGTGACTGTCTCTCCTATACGTGAATAAATTTACACAGCAAGGACTCTGAGAAGCAAATTTCAGAACACTGCGTGGCAGTCTTCAAGAGCAGAAAGAACTGGGCTGTGCTCTTGGGGCTGCTGCGGCTAAGGCCAAGCAGGGAGAGGGTGGGTGTGGTTAAACCGCCCCTGGCACTGAGCTGCTCCCCGTCGCACAGGCAGGGAAGCCCAGATTCCAGTCAAGCTGAGAGAAACGGGACACAGGCTGAGACCAGAACCGCTACCTGCGAGCTTCCCCACCTTGTAACAAGCCTCCAGGGCCTGTGTGTCCTGCTCGTTGGCTCCCACCACTGGGTGAGCATAGCAACCCCAGGAGGTCAAAGGTCACCCTTGTCCCTGTCCCCGAGTCTGGCTTTGGTGTTATGCAGGTTTTCAAAGGGGCCGGTTGCTTGAGTCACGGCCCCATGGTGCTGAGGAAAGAATGCCTGGCAGTGTCCCTGGTCTCTACCCATCGCCCTGTCCCTTAACCCTGTGGGGCATGGAGCTGGGCTTTCTGCTTGCCACAGCCCACAGCTTGGACTCCAGGGTCTCTATCCACTGGGGGAGCAAGCCTGGTACCCAGAGGACGGGCCCCAGCCAGCTGAGCCGACAGCAGGGCCTCCTTCTAGGATCCACTTTATTATGGCATATGGTGGGTCTGGTGGCCACAGCTCAGCTCAGGTCCCTCTCCAGGCAGAGTGGGAGGAAGAGGCCGGAGCCCTGACGGCAGCCCCTCGGTCAGCCCTGGGTCCTGCTGCCCCCGCCTCAGGCCATGCTGCTGCTCAGCTGCATAGCAAAGTCTTGCACATGTTCCTTCAGAGTCTGGCGGGCGTCTGCCTGTGCCCGCTTCTCCCGTGCCCGCTCTTGCTGCAGCTTGGTCAGCCGTAGCCGCAGCCGCTGCTCCCGCCGCTTGCAGGCCTGCAGCTGGCGCTGGGCCTTGTCCAGGGCATCCAGTGCGGCCTCAGCCCTCCGCTTCCAGAGCAGGGCACTACCCACCTGGTAGCTGTGCTCATTCTGGATGTAGGCTCCGGCAGGTGGCGGGAGGCGCAGCATGTAGGCTGAGGGTGAGATGGGCCGCGGCTCAAGAGGGGACGGCTGCCGCTCAGGGGAGGGCTGGGCACTGCAGCCTGCTTCATCTGCCTGGGCACCCAGGGGCCCCAGGAGGTCTGAGAAGGGGCTGCTGAGGCCAGGCTCCAGCCTCCCAGTGGGGGAGGCAGGCAAAGCGGCAGGTGCTGAGGCCTCTTCCGCAGGAAAGCAGGTGACATCAGCAGGTGGAGGTGGAGAAAATGGAGTTGTGGGTCCTCGGCCCTCAGAGCAGCTGGGGGAAGAGAGGGAGACTGCCAGAGAGGGCCAGCCTGACTCCACCAGCCCACCTGAACCTGCTCCACACGTCCAGAAACCTGTCCGGCAAGGCTGCTGGCAAACACCCTAAAGCCCACCCCCTCGGTCTTGGGGTAGGAGTGGGGCGTGCGTGCACACACACACACGCACACACACACCCTGACCTGCAGCACGTACCGCTTTCTGCATCGCCGGAGCCGGCTCACATCAGGGAGGCCGGGTGAGTACCTGTGCCCCTTGGTCTTGCCTGTCCGCCGTAACTTGGAGAAAGTCTCAAATATCGTGGGAACGGCCCCCTCCTTCAGCCTATGATACCCACTGTGGGGGAAAGCAGCCTGGATGAGACAGAGAGCCAGTGTCCGCCCTAGGCCAACCTGTAGGGCACAGAGCCAGCATGCCCTCCAGCACCGTGGCACAGGCTCCTGTGCTAGCTCTGCAGGGGTGGGGAGGCATATTACCAACGAGTTTGGGGACTTCCAAGTTAGGTAGACTGACACCAAGCTCTTCCCTGCAGGACTATTTCATTTGTGGACTTGCCAGAAGGACCAGTGTTCTAAGAAACACCTGGAAAAGCTAATGTTTTCCTCGTTTCACTGGTGCAGCAGTGAGTGGGTCCTCATGGGTCAAAAGAGGAAACTGGGGTATGGAGCTGGGAGCAGCAGCTACCCAGGAATCAGTCACCTCTCCGGGCCCTTCAGCTGCCTGATGGGCTGGCTACTTTGCCGCCCCACACTCTGCCCCAAAGCTGGATGACCAGCAGGCTCACCTGATGCCCACCAGCTCAAAGCAGTTCTCTTCGAAGTGTTTGGAGCAGAAGTAGATGTACTCAGATGCGGGGTCCCACAGGCCCTGGCCGCTGGGGTCCAGCCGCTGGCAGTTGGCCAGCCACAAGCCTCGCCTCGGGTTGTCCTTCTTGGGAAGTCTGCGGAGCCACAAGCCCGTGAGCACCAGGCTGCCTGCAGTCCTGGGGTCATGCTGCCCAGGCTCCCCAGACGGGAAGGGCTGGCCCTGCACCTGCCGCGACCAGACCTCACTGTACCCTCTACAGGGTAAGCACCGCCCGCCTGGGCACGAGGAAACGAAGGCCTGAGGGACAGCAACTTGCTCACAATCATCTAGCAGAAGGACACAAGGGCGGTGACCTCCCGTTCCGTCCTCAGTCCCACCTGGACCGCCCCCTTCATCCTCCGCCACCCTCAAGTTCAAACTGCGCCCCGACCGTAAGGGGACGCGTGCGCAGTCGTGGCTATACGAAGCAGGCAAAGCGGGCGCATGCGCTAGTGAACCTTCACGCGCCGGGACGCACGCGTGCTGACCTGTGAAAGGAAATGCCGCGGTTGCGCGTCTCGCGTGTGTCCCGTGTGCAGCAGCCGGCGGCGGAGCAGTGACGCGGCATCTGGGAAAGAGGCGGGAGTTCGGTCGCGGGCGGCTGTTCGGGCCCGTAGGGGCCTCGCGCACCCGCCGCCGCTCCGCTCAGGTGGCCCTGGGCTGCTGGTTCTTCCCCGGCCCGATCTCGCCCGCTCCCCGTCCCAGCCCGTTGTCCTGACTCCAGTCAGCGACACTCACGATCTCGCCATTTCTGCGCCGCCGAAGTCTCGCGAGGGGCTGCGCGCGGCGGAAGTCGGTACCAGAGATCCGGAAGCAGGGGGAGCGTGGGGTCGCAGGGCCGGCGTCGTCCAGGCCCTGTAGCGCTCGCGGCTCGCTCTTGTGAGGGCGCCCCGCCTGCCCGAGAGCTACCGCCACCGACCCGAGGCAGGGCCACCCGACGGAGCCGGGGCTCGCCGCTCACTCCGGGACAGCTGCCTGTGACGGGAGGGTGGGCGGCGGCCACCCGCGCCGTCCCGGCACATCGGCCGGGCAGAAGGCTGTTGTCGCGACCAACAAGGACGCGCCAGGGAAAAGCCCGGGGCCTTGGAATCGGGGCGTCGGGAGCTGGGTTAGTGCCGGGGCGGGGCTGCCTCCCTGGCCCCGCTGACCGAAGGTGAAGCAGCCGCTCCACGATTTAGGAAAAAGCCGTCACAGGGCTGTTAGACCCCCCAGAGAACGTCAAGATGGGGCAAAGGACTTACTGTTTACATTTAAAATAGTCAAAGAATTTTCCTCTTACTCCCCTAAGCCATGCCTTTGGAACTCTTGCAGTAACAAACATAAATATGCTTGATTTTTACTGAGCAGAAACAGGCGGCTATGTGGACAAGGAACTTTGTCAGAATGAAGCACAAGAGACAGGTGATGCCTCAATACATAAACTTTAATAAGTAAAGACATCTTGTTATGTTGTGGGAGGAAATAATAAAGGGACGGTTGCCAGCCCGCCCATTCAGTACTCCTCCCCCTCTTCGGCCTCTGCCTCCACGGAATCCACGCCCACCTCCTCGTAATCCTTCTCCAGGGCGGCCAGGTCCTCCCGGGCCTCGGAGAACTCGCCTTCCTCCATGCCTTCCCCCACGTACCAGTGCACAAAGGCTCGCTTTGCGTACATGAGGTCGAACTTGTGGTCCAGGCGGGCCCAGGCCTCAGCGATGGCCGTGGTGTTGCTCAGCATGCACACGGCCCGCTGCACCTTGGCCAGGTCCCCGCCAGGGACGACGGTGGGGGGCTGGTAGTTGATGCCCACCTGCCAGAGAAGGTAAACAGAGTGATGTATACTTTCAGTGTTTGGATTTGTCCGTATAAGAGCACAAAGCTACATATGTAAACATTTTTAATGTATTTAGTTTAAAGCACTGTATGTAATGGCAAAACTGGAAACAAGTGTCCATAGTAGTGAACTGAATTGTTACATATTCATATAGTGATCATAAAAAAAGATAAGTCTATCTTAGCATATAAGTATGTCCAAAGTCTATTGTATACTTGGTGAAAAGAAAACCATGTTGAGTCCTATGTATTTATGCTTATAAATACCTGTAGTAACGCACAGGGGCTAGAGCCTTGGACAGCTAGGGGAGCATCATGCTGGAGGCAGACAAAGGCATGGGAGTGTGCGGAGGCAGTGATCCATCCTTGCCTTGGTGAGCAACAGCTAGACACACAGCCAGCCTCCATAAGAGGTGGGAGGGGCAAAGAAGGGCCTGGGGTTTCTAATCCTGGTACCCTCTCACAGCTCTAATGCCAGGCCAGCCAGCCTCTCCAGATGGGAGTGCTGCCAGCTTCCTGCTCTTTGCTCCCCTGGTGCAGTGTGTTGAGTCTGTCTCCTTTGCCCATATTGCTGGCCTTTCTGTCAACATCACCCATATAACAAAAGGTATCACATATCTTGAATATACACAGAATAGCTCTTGAAGGACAAGGCTCTGTAGATGGGGGAGAGGACTTGAGCTTTTCACCCTTCTGCACTGTTTTAATATTTTGCCACGTATCTGCATTTTTACAATAAAAACTAAATATAAACATGGAAAAAAGATTCCTTGAAAACAGCATATCTCTGCATAAACAGTGGTTAAACAGCACATGGTGAAATCATCCTCAGACTGACAAACAGGCATTTACAGCAATGAGAAAACACAGTCCATGTGGGGCTGGGCTGTCTTCTGTGAGGAGAGTAAAAGCAGCGATTTCCTGCAGCTCCCCACAGATGGCCTCCCGGGCGGCTCTCAGGAGCCAGAGACTCAGCTAAAAAGAAACTTGGGCAAGAGGCACAGCACCTCCCACAGTGCCTCCCAGCTGAGGGTATCTGGACATCCTTACCCTCCAAAGGTCACAGGAGCTGAAAGAAAACTTCCTTCACTCAAGTCAAGAACTTGGTAAGTACACATGTGGAATGGAAGGTGTCAACTCTGACCTGTAACCTTTAAGGTCTGCAAACATCCCATGTGAGATTTAATAATTACAGACTGGGTGAAACCTGTTGCAGATTTTACACTTTGTTGTGAGTCACTTTAAATGTGTCAATTTTATAACTAGACATCTGCATTAAGGCATCTTAAAGTGGGGCTGGCAAGGCCAAACAGGTTCAACAACTTGTTTGTTGTTAGAAGCTACGGGCCATTCCAAATAGGAGTAAGACACACATACTGCTGCTGCTACTTGTCATTTTCAGTCTGGAATGACCATGGAACTTGCTACTCCACAAATACTTTAGGAACCCATCAGGGCTTACAAACGTGGGGACCACAACTGTGTCTAACAAGGAAATCAATGGTGAACAAGGACTTCTACCAAGAGCACAAAGTTAATGAACCCAGATGTGGTGAGGCACTCAGCCTGGTAGTCACACTTGGTCTAGAGCCTGAAAGTCAGTTACTGGCTTCAAATCCATGCTGCTTTTCTCTTGGTAGACATTTCACTGTGATACTAAATACAGGTGAAGGAGCCACCTAATCATCAGTATGATTTTGTGTGCCATGCAGTGGTGCCAGTCTGCTTTGGAGAAACTGCTTACCCTTTGCCCCCACAGTAAATACTACAAAATCAATTCAAAATTCCATTTACAGAAATATAAGTGTTGCCTAAATTGCTGTGATAATGGGTGACTAAAGTTATATGAGGTCTAAAAAACACTATTTCTAACACCAAGTGATACCACAGACCCTGACAAACTTCTTGAGAGAACAGTGGAAAAATGTGGAGGACAGACAAAACCTATAGTCAGACTGAGTGCTTGTCCCATCACCTGCCCATGAGGCTTTTAGATACTAAAAG